GGAGAGGGAAGATAAAATAAAGATGGGGATGGGAGGGAAGGAAGGCAGACACACACACAAAAAAGTTAGGGTTGGTAGTACAACATTTGCCTAACATATAGAAGATCCAGAGTTTAGTGTTAGCCAGTGAAGGGAAAGGGGAGGGAAGGAAGGAGGAAAGAAGGAAAGGAATGGGGAATATAAAGAAGAGAGGGTAAGGAGGAAGAGGAAGACTGAATAGAGAGGCAGAGTGAAGGGAAAGGGAAAGGAAGAGAAAATAGGTGTGGAGATACATATGAATGAATGAATGAATGTGAATCATGCAATAAAGTTCAGAGAGGTAGCATAACACTGACTTAGCAATCATCAGAACCTAGAATAAAGAAATAAAAAGAGGGGTCAGGCACTACTGGTCCTGGTCACAAACATCACTGGATCTGAGAGACTTCACCCAGTGCTTTCTACTTCCCGGACACCCTCAGGTTGCCACTAGTTGTTGCAGATGGAGTCAAGTTGCTGACTATGGCTCTGCTCTGTGTATCCTTTCGTGGTCTGAGTTGTAGACTTCATGTAATGATCCACATGTACTTTGAGGGCCCTGGATTTAAGACACCATGTAATACTACTCCCCTCAGTTGGTGGGAAGTCCCACCGTCTCTGGACCTTCAATCAAGGGATAAGAGAGGGCCTTATGCATGGTGAGGAGGCATGACAGTCAGAAGGTGGTAGGTACATCCTACCTTGCTCTGTTTGGCCCAGGACTTGTTGACAAGGATCTTCATAGCTGCAAGGGGACAGGGCACCCAACCTAGCTTTCTGCTTAGAACGAGAACTGGATTTGATGAGCATCTAGCCAGTCATGGCTACAGATGGACAGTATTTGCCAGGTCATGGTGGGGCAGCAATGACTTACTGGAAGTGCAGGGCATGGAGATGCTGACACTGGGTGCCCACCTTCTGTAGTTGCCCCTGGGAATAGCAGCAGTTGGAGAATCAGGCTGCTTGGGACTGGTGCTGGATACTTGGTGAAATATACTTACAAACCAGCCGGCCATCTAAATCTGCTCCCCACATGTGGTGCACTGTTTAGGTATCATGCCCTTCTAAAATTATAGCTCTGTCTTGGGCAGTGAGTCCACGAGTACGTTCTTTTAGGCACTGCTGCATGTGGTGACACTCTCACTCCCAACATGATCTATGCGGGCTCAGACTTGTTTTGCTATTTTATAAAAATCCAAAGTCATATGCAGTATTCAGTAGAATTCTTTATCCTGAGTGGCAGACAGCATTTGTTGAAATATTTAATTTGAATTGCACATTCTGTGATGAACCACATTGGGAGTAGTCTTGGTTTTATCATTCCTTTAATAGATGTGGGCCTACCTTTTAAAAAAGTTATTCATTTTAAATTATTATATGAATATTTTAGGATTATAATCATCATAAAATGAAAGAAAATTGGTCAGACCAAAATAGAAATTTAATTTAAGATAGAAACTGATTACAAGTTTTAGTTAGGACTAGAAACACATAGAAAAGGGTATTTTTAAACCCTGCAACTATACAGTTTTGTTAACAGTTCAGAAAAACCACAGATGTGTTTATTGGTGCCCTGGATGATCATGTTTGAGTCAGACTAATCAAAGAACAAACTTCTGTACAGTTGAAAAGCATAGTAAACCTTTGTGTCTTCCATGGAGAAATGAACTTACAACTCTGCAGTTAGGGTCCCCCAAGAAAACAGCAAATGGAGGAAAAGATAAACCTCGATACACTGACCTAAAGGATCCCAGGCCCACCAGAGATAATTTGGAAGTCCCGTTCCAAAATTGCTGCTCTGTTCACAGTAGCCCAGACACAAAACCTGCCTAGATTCTTACCAGTAGACAGATGGGTAAATACGGTGTGGTGTACGTGTGTGGCAGAGTTTTATTCTTCTGTTAGGAAAAATAGAAACCATGCCACGTGCAGGATAAGGATCTGAGCTGCAAGCCATCCTGTTAAGTGAGAGAAGCTAGACTCAGAGAGATGAATACCTCATGCTTTCTCAACATGTGGAATTTAGGTTCACGCAAGTATAGTGTGGGAGCAAGAGAGAGGCTTTTTAAGTGGGCAGGAGAGTGTAATGGGTGAATGCAAGCAACATATGGTGATACAGAGGTGTGAAAATATCATAGGAAACCCCGTTATTTCATTATATCATATGATACCCCATTCCGAAGATTTCTAAGGTTTGCATGATGCGAAAGGCACTCCTGGCTAGCACTTTTGACTGTGCTGAAGTTAAAGTGGCCATGGTCCGAGCAATCAAGCTGATTCACAGGCTTGTGTGTTTCTAACATTCCCTTCCCTTTCGTTGGTCTCCATAGCCCTTCCTCCCACCTGTCACTTTGTCCTGGTTGTCACTTGAAGCAGAAAACACATTGATCAGATTTGTTTTCCAGTCAACTCTTGCTTATTTTTCCTCTGGTGACCCCTTTGTTTCTGTGGGGCTCAAATTTACTATTCATGAGACCCATTTTAATCAATGACCGTATCAGACAAATGGAAGCTAAGCACTGGTTAGTATGGTGGAAATAAACATGGGCTCTCATTAATGGTGCTGTCTGAATAATGAGTTGAGCGTTGTGTCCTGAGCCACACTGAGAGCAAAGCAGTCTCCTCACTGGAACGACAGGCTGACAGCCACATCTAGGAGTACAGTCATTAGTGTGCCCCGCCATCAGTGTCATGGTACTGTGTCAAATTAGTTAGTGTCCCCTTAGCCGAGAAGCCGGACCTACAAATTATCCTCCCACATCCCTGGAAGTCGTGTTTGCGAAACCCCGCGATCAAGTGTGAGCAAATTACTAACACGGCTCATAAATTAACTAGTTTACAGGCTTATAACATTTTACAAGTAGATGATAAAGGGCCCCAAAGTTCCCCAAAGGCTCTGCCCTGGTGTGAGGATTGAGACAGGCTGACTTTCCCTTGAGGCGTGTGAAGCTGATCCTTAGAAGAGGCACAGCTCTTGGGGTCTCAGTCAGTGCTGGGTGATGCTCGCCCACAAGTGTACTTCCCTTGAAGACAACATAATGAACTTCATTATCTCGTTATGCTGATGAATCCATGACAATGGTCCTTACTCAGGGTGGCAGTCCTTCTTCAGGAGTTTACATCTGAACGATCACGGCTTACCCAATGGAAAGGTTCTTTTAAGGTATTTTTGGCATTCTTATGCCTTGTTTGAGAAGAATAATGACCACATAGCCTACCTTAGGAGAACTAGGGTTTGTGTGTATGCGTGTGTGTGTGTGTGTGTGTGTGTGTGTGTGTGCGCGTGCGTGTCCATCATCATGTATGAAGAGCAAGGTCAGGTGTCGTCCACAAATGCTTCCCACATTTTTTCTAAGATGGGGCTCTGAATCCAGAGCTCACTGGTTAGGCTAACGCCAGCAAGCTGCACAGACCACAGACCTCCCTTCTGCCTCTCCAGCCCTGGGATCGCAAGTACACCCCTTCACACTTTTTTTTTTTTTTTGTCTTAAATGGTTTCTAGGGATTGAACACAGGTCCTCATTTTTTGCCTGGGTCATCTCCCAAGCTGCAGAACAAGGATGTTCACACTTGTCTGGCTTAAACAGTCTATATTTTGCAGGCAGCTGATGCCCAGAAAGCAGTGTGGTGACGCCAGTCTGAGCTAATCTGAATCTGGAAGAGATACTCACTCAGAACGTCATCTCTGAACTCCCCTTTTGTTCTGCTTGACACACAACCCACATGGTTTCCAGAGACATGTGACTATTCAAATCATAAATCTTCATACATCTTTTCAGTTTCAACTTCTCTGCTTGATTAATCTGAAAAATGGGTACAGTCACCAAATGCTGCCTGGACATATCGTGGGAAGAGAAGAACATATTCATACTCCTGAAGGGCTTACACTGGGCCTTCATTCTGCTTCTTTGTTTTTTTTCTCTTATAGCATTGCTTCTGTAGGCTCCACAGCAGTGGAGGTGGCATAGTCACCTCAAGGCTTCTGGCTGGGTGACGGGGGAGACAGTGACTGGCATCTAATCTTACACATTCAGAAAGCACTCAAAGGGGAATTGACTGCTCCGTCAGCCAAGTTGGAAAACTCAGAACCCCACTTGGTAAATAGTATACTCATAACTCAGCCAGAGCCACCGAAGCCCACGGTTTTAGTTTGCATACTTACCGTCTGTGACAAGACTGTCCTGGCCTCCACTGGTATGTGAAGTGCCATTGGTAAAGTGACAGATGACCCTGACTTTTCAGGACGCCTGTGTCTGGAGGATGTCAGTTTCCTCCCGGCCTCATCTACAGGACACCTGAAGCCAGGTTAATGGACCCAAATCTGAAGTGAAATCTTCCTTTTGCATGGATGTGTCTTCTTGCTCTTGCTTCTCAGGACATGTTAGCATTATAATTCGGAGAATGCATCCTCAGAATGTGGCTCCAGAGACAGCGCTGTCTGTAGAGTGCTTGTCCCAGGAGATGAGACCATGTGTTCAAATTTCTGGCACTCACATAAGACAGTGGCAAGTGTCACTCATCCCAGAGTTCGGGAGATGGAGACAGCCCAGTCCCTGGGGCTTGCTGGCCAATTAGTCTAGCTGAATGGCTAAGCTCCAGGTTCAGTGAGAGACCCTGCTTCCCAAATAATGTGGAATTGAGAAAGTTCTCTCAATCTGACCTCTAAACTTCATATACATCATACATGCACACATGTAGAAACACACACGCACACACACACACACACACACACACACACACACACACCAAAAGAAAGGAGAAAATAAAAGAGGAGAAGACACTGTGAACACTTAAGAGAACCAGACTCCCTCATGGGGTGTCTCTGCCCTCAAGAGTGACAGCTGCATTCAATTTAATATTTTTTATGTTCCTGATTCTAGAAGGAAAGGGAGAATATTGGGGCTAATTTTGTGTGTAAAGAAAGAAACCCAAGGAAGCACCCAAAGCCCCTGGCCCTAACCCTTCTCTCCTTTTTCCTCCAGGGTCCTTCTGTGTGTTGCAGTCTTGTGGCATTCTGCAGGCCCCCTGCCAGTGACCCCAGGCTTTTTATGGCTGTGAGACTTATTAAAAGCTCAGGGTAAGTGACCAATGTCTGTGTCACCAAGGGGTGGAGAGAAAATTACGGGCCACCTGCCCCAGCATCGGGCACGAGTTCCAAAGCTGGCAGGCACATGTATGCTGTCACTTTCCGTGACAGTTGTATGATTCTTAGTCATGGGTGCCTTCAGGGCTGGGGATGGTGGTTCAGTGGTAAAGTGCTTGCCTTGCCAGCATGATGGCCTGAGATGAATCCTGTGCCCCCCCCCAAAAGCCAGATATGCACTTATCATTGAAGCACTGATAGGTGGATCTGGTGGCTTGCTGGCTTGCTGAGTTCTGGGTCCCAGTAAGAGACCCTACCTCACAGAACAAGGTGAATGACTCCTAGGGAATGACACCCTTGGTATCCACACATGTCCATACATGTGCATATGTACCTGCACAAACATGAATGAATATACATGTGCACACACATTCACACCCCAAAGAACAAACTAAAAGAAATCTCATTTGTGCCTGGTCATGGGTCATAGTGGTAGCATATCCAAATGCAGAGATGGCTCAGATGGTTTCAAAAGGGCCATGAGTGACTCTAGTTACCCTCCTGGGCCACAGACAGGGTCTGTAGCAGTTAGGCACTCCTGTTGTTGGTTAGCAGAATTAACCATGAGAACTTGAAAAAAAAATGAGGGCCAGAGAGATGGCTCAGAGGTTAAGAACACTGCCTGTTCTTCCAGAGGACTTCAGTTCAATTCCCAGCAACCACATGGTGTCTCACAACCATCTATAATGGGATCTGATACCTTCTTCTGGCCTGCAGGTATGCATGCAGATAGAACACTGTATAGATAGAGCACTGTATCCGTAAATAGATAAATCTTTAAAAAGAAAAAAAGGGTTAATATTAAAAAAAATGAGTGAGGTTGCTATGTCCCCGTGAACATTGTATACACAAATAAACGTTGAGCTATATTGACCTTGGGGCTTTGGTTTGCTCACCCATCCTCTGATACGCCAAGGTTAGGGTACCATCCCTGAACTTGACAGCTCACAGGGTACTAGTCTCTCTGACCTTGAGCAAACTATAAATGTGGAAGAAATAGGAATTTGAAATGCCTGCCATTCCAACCTGGCAGGAGACTGCCAGGCCAAAGCGGGGTGGACTGTATGTGAATGGCTGCCTCCCATGTGAGGGGAAAGCCCTTCCATCTTTCTGGCTCCCCTGTCACCTTCGCTTTCATTTGCTAACTCAGGGCGGTGGAATGTTCTTTTATTTTTGAGTCATGTGGTCTCTGAGCTCAGTCTGTGTTACACTTGATGGACATGCTGTTGAAATATCTCTTTAGTATCAAATATGGATGAAGGGATACACGGGTAGATTATGGCAGGCTAAAGATCAAATGCCAATGAAGAGTGATTAAATTTCCTTTAATCATCAGAATCTGAGAGGGCTTTAAGATCTTCCACCTTTAATATAGGCCTTAATAAATAATAATGCTTTGAATGTCTGCACTATGTTTGAATTTCACAAGTCTTGCATGTCAAAACATATAGACAGGCTCAGCAAATACGCTTCTCTAGACCAGCAGTACTAATTAAGAAGGGAAGTCAGGGTTAAACAAACAGGGTTAAGAATAGAAGGTGGGAACTAGAAGCCCGATTTGTGGATTTTCCTAGGGTTTTTGTCCTCCCAGAAAATGGCAGTGCAGTCTAAAGGGGTGTTTTGGTTTCGCTGTGTTGTTTGCAGATGACCACCCCAAAGCAGATGCTCCTGGAGGGAGGTGTGCAAATCTGCTGTGTGTTCTCTGTCATAAAACACGCGTGGGGAGAGTAGTCTGTGCCTGCCGTCTTTCTGCTCTGCCTGCTCTATGGTATTAGTGCTGTCTTTCCTGGTGGTGGCTGCTGGGTCTCCAGGCGTTGCTCCTAGCTCCTGCAAGGAAGCGATGGAATCAAGAGATGTCAGTGACCCTTCTGGCAGAGGCAGCCCTCTTTGCGCAGCTTCCCCGAAGCTTCACTCATGACGTCTACTCCTTCTCTCTAGATTCCTAGAAATGCAGCCTTAGCTGCAGGAGATGTTGTGCTCCCAAGGAACATAAAGCAGGAGACGCGGGCAGTTGCAGGACTGCTCGGGTGGTTCCTCACACAACATTGTACAGTTGCCCCGGGTCTTGTTTGCCTTACTCGGTGTTGACATTTCTCGGTGCCTGATTCTTAGCATGAACCCTCCATGTTTCCAACAGAGCCACGCTGAGTCTGAGACTTGCTGGGGATCCTCCCCACCTCACGTGTAAAAATTCTAAGTCCCGAATATGCAGATGAGTGTTCATTAGTGTGGTTCTGAGATTTTTGTCAGGTTAAGTCATGGTATCCCAATGACGTGGCCAACTCCTGCCCCGTGGTGCTCTCCCAGTATATGGGGGAGACATGGTTGATGGCCCTACTTTCTTCCGCGTTTCTTACGCAGACCTGAAGATGTGACAGTCACATCTGCCATGCCCTCCCATCGGCTGTGGAGCATGTCAGCTGATCTGTTCTTACCTTCGGGTGACAAGTGAGTTGCCCTGTCCACATTTGTGTTTCAGATTGACATGGGTATGCTTTCTTTGAAAATTCTCAACTGTCACAGTGAAAAAGATGGAACTTGCCTTCTATTAGACATTCTCTTTGTCCCCAGCTCCTGCGCGTGGTGAATTGCTGTGTTAGCGGGCTTACTTTCATACCTGCCATGGACACAGGACTGCAGTATGCCTCTGAATGTACTGGAGGTAGATTGTCTTAGACTCAGATCCTATTTTAGACTTAGACTCAGATCCTCAGACCGGAAAACTCAGTGTAGATTTTAGTCCTTAGCCAAGGCCATCGTTGTGCAGACCACTTCCCAATGGGAAGGTTGGTACCTGCCATCCTGTGACTGGGTTGTAGATAGTTGTCTTGTCTGATAGAACATGCACTTTTCACAATCTAGTACTTGCTGCCCAATGTTCCCTTTAAATAGACATGCATCTTTGGGCAGGGGCCCTGATGCCCATCTACAAGGGCTTCCCAGCCATTGAACCTGGGTGGGTAACTCCATGGGCAGAACAGAGAGCTTCAGGTCCTGTTTGGGTGATGTCTCCTAAAGATGAGCTGTTCTTTTTTTTCCAAGCTGAGGGCCCAGTGCTGCTTATTGCTCTTCGCTCTTGGTTGTATTGATCTATTTTCTGTGCCTCAGTTTCCTTTTGTGAGGTGGGGGGTAAAAGTGTCACCTGGATCATAGGGTTATTGCTACTATAATGAGGCGGCTCATTCTCCATGCTCTGTGCCCAGAGCCTGGAACACAGTTGTCAATTTGGAAGGCCAGCAAGGGCTTCTGGGAGCTGCAGTGGGAAATGTTATCCTGAACTTTTTTACTTTCCAATCTAGAGTTTTCTTTTTTTTCTTCACTCTTTTTCCCTTTACTTTTTTGGGGTGAGGAGGTAGAGGGGAGAAAAGGGGCCCTGCTGTGTAGCTCAGGCTGGTGTTATGCTCCACGTCCTCCAGTTTCAGTCCCCATAGTGCTGGAATTATACATACACCACAATTCCCTGTCGCACTCTTCGTTTTAAAGGTGACAGGAAAGGCAGAGGCTTGATTCCTGGTGATGTTTGCATGTTCATGTTTCATGTATTAAATTGAATGGAAAGCAAGGAAGAGTGGGCTGAAGAAATTCTTGTTTGGTAAGAACACTTGCTTCAGCCATAAGGACCCGAGTTCAGATCCCAGAAGCCACATAACAAACCAGGCATAGCCATGAGTGTCCGCAACTCTAGAGCTGGGCTCTGCAAGTCAGTGAATCCTGACTCTGGCATGACAAGATCCAAGTTCAGTGAGAAACTGGTTCAAGGGAAGAAGGCAGAAGATCGAAGAGGAAGACACCCATTGTCCACCTCTCACCTCCATATGTGTGCCTGAGAGTACCTCTCTCTCCCCTACAGGCACACACAAAGATGTGCCACAAACATATGTACCACCCAGATGTGGAAGTAAGTACAGTTTGTTTGCTCTGTACTGACTGTTAGGTACCATGTCTGAGACCCTTGGAGGTCCAGATGTCAAACAGAGCAGCAGCTCACTGTTAGAGCCCAAGGCATCTCCTCAGAACCTTGGAAATGGGATGTTCATGGCGCTGAACCCTCACTTTGGCCATCTCCCTGGGGACCCATTTCTCCCAGTAGTAGTCAGAGCTGGTTTGATCTGCCTGGCAGTAAAAGGAACCTTGTAGTGGCAGAAAGCCTTCTAGGCGGTTAAATGCGTAATTGACATGTCAGTCCAAGTCTTCATGTTCTTATCTTTTGATGGAAAACTCACATTTGCATAGCTATAAATATCCATCCCTGTTAACACCTTTTACCTGCTCTGAGAGGGTGATAGGTTGCTGTATTGTTCCGTCGTGCCTGTGGTTGTCATGCATTCTTCATTACAGGCTTGTTACATAAAAGCCAAGGTGTAGAGAATGTCCCCTTCCACCTCCCCACATCACATAATTTCTGCGGGTATGATGTGGATATATATAATCTCATACTCTTACTGCCATGAGCCTTGGGTTAGGTAGGGCTGTATAAAGAATCAAAATTGTCATTTAATTTATAGTTTATTTTATCTCAACATATAAAATAAAAAGATGCCATGTAAACATTGTCAAGGGGGCTGGGAAATGGCTCAGTTGATAAGGTGCTTGCTGCATAAGCATGAAGATCTGAATTTAGGCCCTCGGTACTTATATAAAAGCCAGGCACAACTGTGATCCCAGCAGGGAAAAGGCACAAACAAGAGGATCGCTGGATTCTGACCAACTGGTCTGCCCAAGTCAGTGAGTTCCACATTGAGTGAGAGACCCTGCTTCAAAAGATAAGGTGGAGAGTAATTGAGAAAGACACCTGGTATCAACTTCTGGTCTTTGCATATGTGTGTGCCCACATATACATGAATGTATTGATGCCCCCCCATTTCACTTCCACATCTTCACATCCCCCAACCTCACCTGCAGACACATGCACAAAACAAAATGGAAAAAATGAA